ATTTTCATTCCATCAATTCCTGGTGCCTTGTTCTTTGCCAATTCTTTCAGTGCACCTTGGACTTCCTCCCTCAGTATCATTGGCTCTTGATCATATGCTACCTCTTGAAACAGTTGAACATCAACCATGTCCTTTTGGTACAGTGACTCTGTGTATTCCTTCTATCTTCTTTTGATGCTTTCTGCATCTTTCAATAATTTTCCCAGAGAATCCTTCAATAACAAAAGTTAAGGCTTGAATATTTTCTTCAGTTCCCCTAGCATGAGAAATGCTGAGCGTGTGCTTCCTTTTTGGTTTTCTGATTCTAGATCTTTGCATGTTTTGTTGTAATATTTGACTTTATCTTCTCAAGGTGACCTTTGAAATTCTCTGTTCATCTCTTTACCTCCTCATTTCTTCCATTTACTTCAGCATCTCTACTGAGATTCTGTTTTCAGCATCTGGAGAGCAAGTTTCAGTGTCTCTTCTGTCAATCATTTTGACCTTTTCCTTCTTTCTTGTCTTCTTAATGACTTTTGCTTTCTTCCTGTATGATGTTCTCACCACTCGTTTGTCAGTTTGTTGTACTGTGGTGGCTTGTGAGTTGCTGTGATTCTGAAAGCTATGCTACCGGGATTCTAAATGCCTGCAGAGTCACCCATGATGAACACGTTTCAGTGAGCTTTCAGACAAAGACAGACTAGGAAGAAAGAGTGACGAACTACTTCCGAATATCTAGTCACTGAAAACCTTATGAATAGCAGAGAAATACTTTCAGATATAGTGCCAGAAAATGAGACCCTCAGTTTGGAAAGCACTCAAAATGTGACTGGGGAAGAGCTGCCTCCTCAAAGTAGAGTTGACCATGATGATGTGAATGGAGTAAAGCCCGTGGGAGAAAAGCTTACGGGACCTTCATTTGTTGATGGGGCACAATTCAGAATGAAGAGAAACATCTGTAAACATCCATTAATAATCAGAACATGGAATGTAAAAAGTGTGAATCTGGGAAAATTAGAAATTGTCAAAAATGAAATGGAATGCATAAACATTGATAATCTTAGGCATTAGTGAGCTGAAATGGACTGGTATTGGCCATTTTGAATCTGATAACCACATGGCTTACTATGCCCGGAATGACAAATTAAAGAGGAATGGTGTTGCATTCATCGTCAAAAAGAACATATCCAGATCTGTCATGCTGTACAACGCTGTCTATGATAGGACAGTATCC